ATTTAAGTCTTAACACTGAGCAGCACATATTTTGTGGGTATTTGCTGGTATCTGGTTAACAGTGGATTACTATTGTAACATTATTAAAATGCCTCCATTAACAAATGAGCAAGACATTTTAATTGTTCTTTTTAAATGTACAATATCAGTACTATATACTGATGTTAGAATTGAGGGTATTGAAAGTTCCCAGGAGATAAAATTGAGGAAAGTATTTTCTTTATAAAAGAGATCTCACAAGAAAACCAAAGAGTCTATTTTTAATCAAAACCTCATCTTTAAAGTCAGCATTTCCTGACCATATTTCAATGGAGCTGAGGGGAAGGGCATTTGACTTTGCAATCAGTGATATTATTTTTGGTCCATGAAATTAACCTATGGCTTATACGTAGTTTGGTGACCAGTTATTAAATTATTGAGTGCATGGGCCAATTAAATAATGATGAACCTCATGCTGTACTTACCTTTGTCTTGAGTGTAATATTCTCTCATTTCTTGGAAATAACTTCACATCCTCTGAAAGACTTCAGGTTAAAGTGTGGCTGCAACAATGACATTTTTCTGAAACTCAATCCAGAAACACTCCTCCTGTAGGGAGCTGTTTATTATAGTCCATTTGTTTTGCTTCTTTTAATGTTGGCATAATTATAAGGTGTGGACTCTTATTTAAAATAGTGTTTCCTCCATGCCTGAGAACAGAAAAAGAGAAAGAACCCCATGGAGAAAACCAGCAGATACATGTAGAAGAGAACAAACTACCAAAACACTGATGACTGGGTATAGTGACTTTGTCCTGATCAAAAGAAAGCACTAGCTTTATTAAGACTATGTATTTTTCCTAAATTATGAAGAATTTTAAAATTCTATCTATGCATCTCAGAAATTACAGCCATATAAATGAGAAGCATAAACAAAAGTTTTGTGTTTTAAATATTATTTTTTGTTTCTTATATTGTATTATAATATCTTATTACAATTATTATATAAAAACATGTGATTCTTCACTGTTATAATTTGAATCATGTATATAATATGTCATGATCAAATCTGAATAGTTTACATTTCCATCTCATCAAGACAAAAATGTTTTTAGATAGACCTGTAGGTGACAGTATAAAAATGTCGGGCTCACAAATAACAAATACCCTTTCAAAATAAATAAATCTGGCAAACAACTCTAATATTCTTTGATTTCCATAATCATTAACTGGTCCTTATACTGCCTTGAGAAACAAAGGCCCTCATTGTATATTCCAGTTCTGTAACTATTTTACACCTGTAGCCACTCTTTGCTGAAGAAAAGAAAATCCAGAAATGTGAATCTCAAGTTGTTCCTACTTGTTGAACTTCTCCTGATGTATAATTTCCAGTTGCATTTGCTTTTTGATTTTTCTTATTTGCCATTTCATCTGTCTGGTCTTCTCTTTTCTCAATTTGGTTGTGTTGCTTATTTGTTAAGAA